CGGGGACACGGGCCACGCGTTGCCCCACCCGGCCGCCAGCCCCGGCGCCAGGGACACAGGCAGGTTTCTGAGGGGACGCCGCGGCCGCCAGGCACGGAGTGACCGCACGCTGAGTGGCCCCGGTTCCCGACGGGAATCCCCAGGCTGCACCCCGCGCCCAGGCAGCGGGTTCCACCCCCCCCAGTCGCGCCCCCCGCGGCGCCCCAGCACTTGCCTGGCTCCAGTTGCCCACTGACCAGCTGGCGTTCCCGGCGGATGGCAGGCCAGTGGACGGCGCCCCCTCAGCGAGCCCGGGGTCCCCGGGCCAGGCTTCAGGGGCGATGCTGCTGTGGGCCCAGCGGGGATATGCAGGTGTGGGGGGCAGCACGGGGTCGGGGGACGCTGGGGGACCCCAGGGCCCCGGGGTCCTGGCAGTGGCCGCAGGTGGGCCCGCTGTGCCGGCCAGGAGGGGCGGTCCCCCCACCACCGGGGTCCGCAGGCTGGGAGGCTCCCAGCCCGGGGCAGAGCTGGCCCTGCCCCAGACTCCCGGCGGGGGCGCGGCAGGCAGGGGAGCGGGGAGCGAGGCCCCCGCCCCCCCCGCCCCGGCGGTCGGGCCCGCGGTCCCCCCCCCCGGGGGGGGGGGGCCCCGTCCCCCACGGTGGGCTGTAACCCATGCTCCACTGGCCCCCAAGACGTGGTTGGCGGCCTCCCCTGCTCCACAGTGTTGGGACGGCGGGTGAAGGGAGCCGCGCCCCCAGGAGACAGAGGGGCCGTGGGGTGGGGCCGGGGGAGCAGGGCCCTGGCGCCGGAGCCCCAGGCTTCCTCCCCGTCCTCAGAAACCTCGTTGGTCTCCCCCCACTGGGGCGGGGGCGGCCCATCCTCGCTGCCCTCGGCCCCCCGGAAGTCGTAGTGGGCCCCGGAGGCGACCGGGGTCTCTGCCCCGCCCACAGAGGTGGGGGGCTGGGGCAAGCCCCGGAGCCCGGGGCTCGGAGCCCCGCTGGGGGCACCGGGGTCAGCCAAGCTGGCAGGGGGGTTCGCTGGGGCCAGCTCCGAGCTCGGGGGTGGGGAGCGGTCCGTCTGGCGGGGCTGAGGGGCAGGGGACGCGCCCCAGGACCCCTGGTCCTCAGCCCCAGGAGGCCCCATGGCAGGTGTGGGGGTGCTGCCGGGGGGGCTGGCAGGCACGCTGGGGGGTGGGGGCGCCCCGCCACCTGTGCCCGCCACGTCGGGGCCGGGCTGGTCGAAGGCCCCGTAGGACAGGTCCTCGTGGAAGTTGATGAAGTTGTAGTCGTAGTAGAAGTCGTCGACGAGCGGGGGGCCCGGC